TGTCTGCACCATTTGAACTATAGTTGTGGATGATAGTGCATCCTGTTACCCAGTGTGTTGCTTCCTTTCCCTCCCTCCCTCATCTAACCTATGACAGCTGCTTTTATTTGTGTTTCCTTAATATGTCTTGAAACTGCTTCTTTCCATTCCCATATCCTTTCCTCAAGTTCAGGCCTTCAGTGCTGTTCTGGGTTTCTGAAACAGCCTTCTGTTCCTGCCACTGTTCTTAAGCCTCTCCAAGCTATTAGCGTTGGTTCCAGTTGCTTCCAAGATAGTCACAGCTGCTGTTTGGCCTGATTGCTCATGTGGCCACACTTACTTCTCATGTTCTTTGGTCACATTTCCTCACCCTCACTTTCCATTTTCCACTAATTTTATTGTTCTTCACTCAGACAATAGCTGTTCCTAGGAAGTTCACCCAGACCCTGAAAATTAGATGTACCTCCCTGTGTTCCCATTGAACTTGGATCATAGCTCAGTTATAATTTTATCACGTTGTTATAATTAATTTTTTTTAAATTTGTTACTTTTTGTCAATACAGTACAGCTTTTTACAGTAGTCAGGGCTCAGAAAGTTCATAGTGTGAACTTTAACCACCTTCTTCAGCCAGTTAGTTCTTAGATACTTAGTATAGTTCATTGAACAAATGAATGGTGGGCATGAAAGGCAAATTAGATGGGTGCAGGTAATAATGCTTGGGTCTGAGGAAAACACTAAGGACGTGTGGTTCATGTTTCTAGTAGAGGGTTATTTAGATAGTATGTTTAGTCATATCAATGACCATTGTATTACTTTGTGAATTGAGTTTGTTAATTTCAGTTATTTGTCTTTAAAGCAAACCTTTCAGTAAAAAATGGAAATCCAAACAGTCCTTCTAGCAGTTTTCATTTCAGCTGCTTCTCTACAAATACCTTTATGTTTGAAATGTGTTGCATCTCCCAGGCCTAACTGGTAGGTACAGACTCCATCACTGACAGTAACTATAGGTCACATGGTTTTTTAAGTGACACACACAACAGATACTAATGTTATCACCCAGTTCATCTCTAAATGTGAAGGACTCCAGTGACACCTACAACTAGTCCTTGGGTCTTTCATGGTAAAGAAGAATCTTTGTTATCTCCAGGACATCATAACCATTGTTTTTTTATTTTTTATTTTTGGCTTCTGGAATGAAATGATTCAGATGCCTTCTTTTTGTTTGTTTACATTGTTTAGTATCACACTTGGAATAATATCTTTATCATCGTTTATTGGATAGTGCTGCTTCCTATTCTATTGCTTGTCAGACTCACCAAATCTCTTTATACTAAAATAAGGATTCCTGATTCTGGTGGCTGACATCTACTTTATTAGGATTTCTTGGAAGATCTTATAACTACTTGTTATTTAAAAATAATTTTAAGGTATGTATTTTATTTTTAAAAACTTAGAAGTCATTCATTTACATTCTGATCTGCATAGAGGAGATAAAAGTGGAATTAGAGCCACCCCAATGATGAGCAATTTGTGATAAATGGTACCATACATCCTTTCATTCTCCCTCCATTCATTTAAATACCGATAATTAGTAATAACTTGCTTTCTTAATGTGTATTTTTAAAGTGTATTACCTTTTACAGGCTAAAATTTAAAATTTAAATCTGTCGCAACATAATGCTTCAAATTATCACTATCAGATTATACTTGAGATTCCAGGACTAGTTCTCCTTACTTAATCTTTCCTTGTTCACTTTTCACGAAATACCTGTCTTTATATCTATGTGTTAAGGTTTGTCTACCCAGAGTTATTTCCAAACTTAATTTTTGGGTACAGTTTCTCCCTTTCTTTTAAGATGATGATGATGATGATGATGATGGAGGCAGTGAATATTTAATGAGTAGTTTGTATACAGACAGCACTGTACTAAGTGTTGGCATATATTATTGAATTATTATGACACATAGAGTTAAGGCCCCTTGTTGTTCTTGTCTTTGATGGAGAAATTAGGGCAAGACTAAATAATTGGTCAGTGGCAGAGCCTGGATTTGAACCAAGGTCACCTGCCTTCTAAGCCCAAATTCTTAGCCTCTGAGCTATTACTTTTCCTAGAGGAGGCTGTTTTGAACCCAAAATGATTCGTGATACAAATGATGCTTTTGCCTACACTGATACTAGGTTAGAATAAAAGTTACTCCCTTTTTGCTTTTGCAGGTTCCCAGCCAAATCAGCACAACCTTTTTAGTCTCTAAGATATTTAGTTTCATATCTCTTAAAATTTTTTTTAGCAGAATTCATAAACATGACTTAGGTTTTTCTCTTTCTGTATTTCAGAAAATATTTAATTTTAAGACAGTAGCTCTCTGTGTAGGCTGTCTTATACATTCACAGATGGCATTATTTTATCTGTCCTTAAACCATCTGTAGCATCAGCCTAGTCTATTCCAATTGGTGTCATCTTACATTTATGCAGGAGTGAGTTATTAAAGTAAAACTTTATATTTATATTGCATTTTGGGTAAATGTTAGAGTAAAACATTGATTTATTTTATCACAACAACTATGCAAAGAAAATTTAATTTTCTAACCTCATCTTGATTTATTTTTATATGAAGTCTTCAGAACTGAATTGAATTGAATTCAGCAACTATTTATTGAGCACATATTGTGCTCCTGGAATTGTGGAGATAAGTTTATGGTCCAGCAGGAAAGACAATGGAGTAGTAAATACAATTGAAGAAGAAATACAATTATGATTCTCATTATGAAAAACCATTTCAGAGGAGTGGATAAAATGGAGTTTCTTAGGGAAAAGGGAGAGTCTTCCAGGCAAAGTAAGCAGCAAGTGGGAAGCTCTGATGTCAAAGCTTACAGAGTGACCAAGATAGTAGAAGATGTTCAGTCTGACTGGTACTTAGAGTGGGAGGCAGAGAGTGACAGGTTTTTTGAGGCGAGACTTTACATGTAAGTAGGGACAGACGCCTTGTAGGCCAATTAAGGATTCTGGATTTGAACTTAAGATTAATGCAAGTTATTGATGAACCTAAAGCAGAGGTATGGCACGAACAGAATTGGTTTTAGGAAGACACCTCAGGCCTCAGTATTAAGAAAGGGACATAAGTAGATGTGGGAATACTGATCCTCAGGAAGAAGACATTTTTTTTTATTATCAAAACATTACAGAGCTCATGATATATCATTTTTCATACATTTGACTCAATTGGGTTTTGAACTCCCATTTTTACCCCAAATACAAATTGCAGAATCACATTGGTTACACACTCACATTTTTACATAATTTTATATTAGCGACTGTTGTATTCTGCTACCATTCCTATCCCTTACTATCCCCCGTCCCCTCCCCTCCCCTCCCATCTTCCCTCTCTATCTCCTCTGCTGTTGAGGAAGAAGACATTTGAGTTGGTTCGGGGTTGGCGGGCTCTCTTGGACCACTTCTTGCTATACTGTGTTGTTGTTGTTTTGCTGGCAATGGCAGAAATCGACCTGATATTAGATGTTGTGTTTGACTCTCTTGAAGTTACAGATAGCTCTGTATTATTTTTATTTTGTAAAATCTTTCAGGAAAGTTGGGAGGTTATTTTAGTAGACATTGAGAAAAATGATTTTGACTTAGATCAGCGTAATGGCATAGAGATGGAAAAAGTGGATAGATTCCAGGGCCATACTGCTGAGAATGGAAGAGCCAGTCTAGGTGTATACAAAGTTCCATTTTATTGATGTCTAATAAAATTTTATTGGTGTCCTATGTAAGAAAAAATGGAACAAAAATGAAACCTGGAGTTAATATAGTAGCTCTGTATTGTGCAAGGCATGACCTCACGGTGCAGTTACAAGGATAACGGAGATAAAAGCATTCTGTTGATTGGAAAGTACTGGATCTAACTGTCATCTAGGTGATATCCTGCTGTAAGGTTTGCTCATCACATGAGTGTGTGATAGTAACAGAACTTCAAGTGACAAACATGTTTATTTAGTGTCTGATGCCTCCACTTCCAAAAAAAATCAATTCATTCTTTGATCCACTTGCTTATTTGTTTTTAAAAACTTTACTGAGAGTCTATTATCCACCAGGCCTGTCTCTTCATCGCAGTCTTTAATATCACAAGTGGCCATATACCTAGTGCAGACCTTTTATGTTTATAAGTACTTATTGAGACATATCTCATTTAGGATACATTTACTCAGGTTGACAAGATCTCACCACTTCTTCCCAAGTGGCCTATTTACTCAGTGTGTAGCCATTGATAAAATCCTGTGACCCTAATCTTCCATTTCTCCTGATGTCATGTTCTCTGCACTTTATATTGCTACTCTGCAGTCTTTGCTCAAGCTCCATTTTGGTTGAACATTTGGTTGGTTCAATCATCACCACCCCCACCAAGGCTTCCTGTTACTCATTGTAGGCTTTTCTTATTAAACAGTGTAATGCAAGCTGTTATAGCAAAGGCAGCCTTAGTCTCAGTGGTTTAAGTACATTAGAAGCTTATTTCCTGTTATCATAAATTCATTTGATAACAGATGTAAGAATAAAGGGTTTTCTGCTTCACTCATGCACCCAGGCTGATGGAGTTAACATGCTGCTCAAAAAAAGTGCTTTGAACTCAACATCTAGCTGTCAGAGTGAGAGAGAGTGAAAATGAATATGAACACTCACATAGGGAGGTTTTCACAGGCTAAGGATTAGAAGTGGCTGGCATCATTCCTACCCACTCTTCATTACTCAGGTAATGACCATAGGTAACTGCAGGGGAGGCTGGGAAATACAGTCATATATTTGTCTTGTGAACCAATCTGTGCCACACCAGCTCCTGACTTTTCTTCTGTGGTACCTGCTCTTGATTTTAAATGATAGGAAGAAGCAGAGAAGGACTAGAGATAGGAAAGTATCTCCTTTATACTTTTCTAAGTGGCTGTGTCATGGTCCTAGACATTAAAATGGGAAATGTTTACATTCTGAATTCTAACATATCTGATCATTGCTATTATTCTATATCACAGGGAAATAAATGCCCGACTTGATGCTGTATCTGAAGTTCTCCTTTCAGAATCTAGTGTGTTTGGTCAAATAGAAAACCATTTATATAAATTGCCCGACATAGAAAGAGGACTGTGCAGCATTTATCACAAAAAAGTAAGTGTGATTGAAAATCAAATTATAGCTTATATTGTGCCCTAATACGAGGATGCCAGATATTAATGGAACATCTTCTGATATTTCTGTATTATTTTTATTTTGTAATCTTGCAAGTAGCATGAGAGAGTATCTAAACCTTCAGAAATCTGAACGTACAAATTAAGGTTGTTTAGTTTTTACATTTGTAAAAAGTAAAGTTTTGCCACTTTTTAACCTACATTAGCATATATAGAAGTCCTCCTATTATAATGCAAGATATTCTGTTTCATCCTCAAACTGCAAACCAGTATCAAAATGGGAAATTTACTTAGTCCTGCTACTTGAGAAAAGAGATGCCTTTTTTCTTTTGATCTTAAAACAACTTATTTTTTTACTTAACCAAAGCATTAAATGTAATATTTGTTACACTGGTATGACATTGGTGAGGCTGTTAGTATGCAAACAAATTTGGATGTTGAAGGTGAGTAAAACTATTATTTTGTTTTATATTATTAAGTTTCACAGCCTAAGTGATAGAGCACTGATGAGTTTTCCTCAAGGGAAATCATTTTATTTTATCATCAAAATATTCTTGAAATGTAAAAAATGATTAATTCATTATATTTATAATAAATGTTAATCAGGTAGATTTTTAAAGTGTATTACCTTTTGCAGAGTCATTCATGTACAATATATTCTTTGTTCCATGTAATAAAAACTATGACACTGAGAAGATATTATTTTATAACCTTTTACTGCTAAGAAATTGTATATATTTATAATGTTGTAACAGCTTGTATTGCATTGGCTTCTATGGTGCTACTTAGAGAGGATTAGTAACTTGCTAGTAAGTGACAGAATTTATGTTTAAACCTAGGTTTCTTCACTGGGTTTTTAATGGCTGTCTCTTTTGGGTGCTACTATGTTTGATGTAGTTGTCTTGGCTACCCTATTGCCTTTTTTTTTTTTTTTAATGTGGTTGCTTCTTCACAGGCAAATTTTGTTTTTTGCCCAAATGTACTTGCTTGTCAATTTAATAATTTTATCATAGAACAATTTCTATAAGCCCCAGTTTTAGAGTGACCAATTTTCCTTTAATGTTTACTTTCTTAAGTCCTTCTTTCTCCACAAACTTTTACTAGAATGATAAGTACTGCCTCTTAGAACATTTGTGGTGTTCAAGAGGACTTATGTAACTGTTCCATATGCTTCGGCTAAATTTGAAAACAAAGTACAAAGCAGATTTGGGAATACTGATCCTCAGGAAGAAGACATGTGAGTTGGTTCAGGATTGGTGGGGTCTCTTGTTGTTGTTTTGCTGGCAATGGCAGAAACCGTCCTGATATTAGAAAACGTTGTGGTTAACTCTCTTGAAGTTACAGAGGGGTGCCAAACCATCTATTATTTTGTGTCCTTGGCCAGTACCTGACAATCAGTGCAGTACTACCCACATCAGTCAGCAGATCTCCAAGTACCTTGCCTTCACTATTTGAGAGGATTCACTGAATAATTTCAGAGATTTTTTTTTTAATTTTCTGAAGAGAAAATAGGAGCAGAGCTAAAATTCTTTCAATTGCTAATCTAACAAGTAAAATCAAAATGTCTGTGGCATCAAGATTGCAGCATCATTCCATGCTTCCGTGGTTTCTTACGCCTTGATCCTCTCTTTAAACTTCACTTTGATGCTTGCCTTTCATTTGGTTTATGTATTTATAAAAGCATCCAAGCTCTAGTAAAAGTTCCAAAATAATTCATTTTAAAAGTGACCAACATGCAGTGCAAGAACGAGTTTCATTTTGGAATTTCAAAATATATTTTACTAAAGGAACTATGACTCACTTAGAAGCTGTTTCTTTTTGCTGTTTTCATGTTTACACAAGAATATGCCTCAAGATTGGTTTGAAAGGTGAAAAATAAAAATGATTTTATAACAAACCAGCTTCAGAAAGGCTTAGAACTTTAAACCATATTTTTATAGCTTAGTTAGCAGACTCTTGGAACACACCATCAAACACATATCTGTTCTTTATTACTACATTTCTCTAAGTAAGCTTCTATAGACACCCAATAATGAGTGCTATCCTGGGTACAGGTTGTGCCAATTATGTGATATTCACAAAATGGTAAGGAACACTGGCTATTATTGAAGTCAGACATTTAGGCCTGGTGGCTGTATAGAAAGTGCCATTGGAATTTGCACAAATAGGTGTTTTTATGGTAATAAAGATAGAGAATCCTAACTGGCCTGATCCTGGGATAAAATCAATATATTTTTTAAAAATAATAAAACTTCAAATTCAAATCTTGTAAAATAGTGCTATTCATAGGAACCCCTACTAACTTTGCTCAAAATTTGTTTTGTAAGAAACTGATAAATGATTGCTAAGGTTGGTGACTACATTTAAAGATTATAGTACTTTATGGATCAAAGACGTCAAAATTAGATCAGAAACCCTGTATATACTAGAAGAAAATGTAGTCCCACACTTTAACAGATCAGCCCAGGAACTGACTTCCTTAACAAAAAAGAAGCCTAAGAAGTAAAATCAATAGTCAATAAATGGGACTAAAAAAACCTCTTTACAGCAAAGGAAACAATCAAGAGCATGAAAAGAGAGCCTACAGAATGGGAGAAAATCTTTGCCACTTGCACCTCAGATAGTGCATTAATCTCAAGGATATATAAAGAACCCCAAAATTTTAACACCAAAAAAATAAACAAAAAACAAATAAACAATTAATTCAGTCAATAAATTGGCTAAGGAACAGAACAGACTCTTCACAGAAGAAGTACAATCAATCAACAAATATATGAAAAAATGTTCAACATCTCTAGCAATTAGAGAAATGTAAATTACATTGAGATTTCATCTTACTCCAGTCAGAATGGCAATTATCAAGAATACAAGCAGGATGTAGGGAAAAGGATTCCCTCATACATTGCCGGTATGACTGCAAATTAGTGCAACCACTCTGGGAAGCAGTATGGAGATTCCTCAGCAAACTCGGAATGGAATGACCATTTGACCCACTCCTCAGTATATACCCAAAGGATTTAAAATCAACATACAATATTGATGCAACCACATCAGAATTTATAGCAGCACAATTCACAATAGCTAAGTTATGGAATCAACCCACATGCCCTTCAACAGATGAATGGATAAAGAAAATGTGGTATATATACAAAATGGAGTATTACTCAGCCATAAAGAAGAATGCTTTATTTCATTTGCCAGTAAATGGATGGATCTGGAGACTATCATGCTAAGTGAAATAAGCCAGTCTCCAAAAAGCCAAAGGTAGAACATTTTCTCTTATATGCAGATGCTAACCCACAATAAGGTTGGGAGGGGAAGAACAGAAATTCAGTAGATTAGACAAAAAGGGATGAAGGGAAGGGAGGAAAGAAAGACAATAGAATGAATCTAACATAATTTTCCTATATACACATATGAATATACCACAGTGAATCCCACCATTACGTACATCCACAAGAATGAGGTCCTAATTAGACTAAGATATATTCCACGCTAGTGTAGAGAGAACTTTGCTGCCAGAAGTGGATCTGAGCAGCTGCCTTGGGAACCTATCCTCAGCCTTTCTGCAGCTCTTTTGAGTTCTTTGCATAAGAAATGTCAGAACAACCTGCCTTGTGCATTTAGGACTTGCTTGCAGAGCACTTCAGGTTTTCACTCTGTTCCTATGGCTGACTTACATTGGAAACAGAGCTTACCTTGGGAAATGAATTCCTTTCTTGCCTCTTAGATTACAGTAATTACAAGAACTATTCTTTGAAAATTATGTTTAAGATGTTTAGTTTTTTACTTTTGTTTGAATTAATTGACCTAGTGCCTAAAAAGCTTCCAGGCTCCATACTTATACAAGCATTCCAACTTCCTTATTAGCAGGTGGTATTTTTCCCACTATGCTGGGGCCTTTCTGGGGAAGAGATGTTTCATGGTACCTTTTGATCTCAACTTTAGTTCAGTTGGACCCTACTTTTTTCTCTTCATAAAAATTTGTTTTTTTTTTTTTTGAGAGAGAGAGAGAGAGAATTTTTTAATTTTTTTTTTTTTTTTTTTAGTTTTTGGCGGACACAACATCTTTGTTTGTATGTGGTACTGAGGATCGAACCTGGGCCACACTCATGCCAGACGAGCGAGCTACCACTTGAGCCACATCCCCAGCTTGAGTCACATCCCCAGCCCCTCTTCATAATTTGTTTAATCTCATATGGTTAATAATTATCTTTTAAAATAAATATTTAGCATTAATCCATTTTCTGTATATTACTAAATGTGCCTTATCATGAATTTAACCCTAAATTGTCTTCTTATAATAAGATTAATTTATTTTCATTAAATATTCATTTTTTTTTCTTGCAGAACTCTCTTCTAGAGCATTCTGACTGATCTGTTCTGGTTTGGTTGCTACCTCCTTGAATTCCCTTTACTTCTCTTGAGTTGAATCTTCTGCTTTTTGTATTCCATGTCTCCCCGTTAGTATATGCCTTCATTTTCATGTGTTATCCTGAGAAGCTTCCTAAAAAAGGGTGATGGAAATAAATGTGTCCCCCCCATTCTCAGACTTGATTGGTAGTTTGGCTAAGAATAAAATTCGAGGTTATAAATTATTTTCATTCAGAATTTTGTGTTATACCAGTGTCTTTTAGTTGCACAGTATGAAGTCAATGTGATGCCTGATTCTGTGTGTGATCCTCCTTGCTTCCTTTAGAAATTGAAAAATATTCTCTTTATTCCCAGTCTTCTAAAATTTCGTGATGATCTGGCTTGATTTAGTTCTGTTTTTATCCATTGTGTTGTGACGTTCTGGTCCGGCAGCTTAAATCCTGAAATTCTGGAGGATTTTCCTGAATTAATTTTTGATGATTTCTTTCTTTCTGAAACTTTTTTGTTTGAACTGATGTTTATCTAATTTTCTTCTGTGTTTTCTGTTTCCTATCTCTATACTTTTGCTTTACTTTCTTGGGGATTTCATCATCTTCTGTCTCTTCTGTTGAATTTTGTCATTTCTACTGTCATAGTTTAGAATTTGTGTGTGTGTGTGTGTGTGTGTGTGTGTGTGTGTGTGTGTGTGTGTGTATTGGTCTGAATGTTCTTTGAAAAAAAAATCTTCCCATTTTTGTTTCATGGTTGCAGTGTCTTCGGTTTTATTGAGGTTATTATCAAATTTTTAAGTGTCTTTTTCCTTAATTATATAGGCTTACTTCCTTCTAAGAATTATTATTTTGGTCTTTACATTTCATATTAAAATGTTTTCTCAAGTATCTGATCATTCTTTTTAAGAGAGAACTAGAATGTTAATGTGAAGACCTATGTAGTCGAATGGCTTATTTTACAAAAAAAGAGGAAAGACCTGTAAAGTAAACTTAGCTTGGCTATTTATTGGGAGAACTACTGCTATAGTTATCTTTAGAGTTTTCCTGTTGAGATACCTCTTTTCCTGATGAGCCAATAATGTTCTGGGAGATGGAGAGGGACAATGTGGATCTCAACATCCAGTTTGCATTTCTTTAATCCTCTACTTTCAGTGGTACCCTCATCCTTTGCTGGGTCTGATGCTCATCCAGATACCCCAGGTTACTTTTTCCCTGGAATAGATCTAGAGTTCTTTATAAGGCAGTGAAGTATTGGTTGCCCAATAGCATAGAAAAGTATAAGGGATCCAGGGACTTAATTGTTTCTTAAATGGCTCTCAACTAATTCTTCCCTACTCTAACCCCTTCCCACCTGCAAAGATCATGTATGTACCACCTGGGATTTTTAGGATTCTTGGTGTAAATCAGGTTGTATCTCAGTTTTACATAAGGACAACTTTAGAGTCAAAACATTTTGAGACTTGTTGCTGATGTCTTTGAGTCATTCTTATGGTTTTATGCATTCTGAAAAAATGTTTTGACCGTAGTTCTGACATGGAGAGAATTTAGATGCATGGATTCATCCCACTGTCTTTACCAGAAGCTTCTATAAAAAATTATTAATGTGTGTTTAAGAATTACAGTGGTATACCAGGGTATAAAGAATGAGTCTTCCTGTACCACCTCCCCATACCTACTACCTAGAGGTAACCAGAGTAAGTTACATGTGTGCTCTTCTAGAAATATGTTTTGGTTTTTTTAAAATTTTTTTTAATATTTATTTATTTATTAAGTTTTTGGCAGACACAACATTTTCGTTTGTATGTGGTGCTGAGGATCGAACCCGGGCCGCACACATGCCAGACGAGCGAGCTACCACTTGAGCCATATCCCCAGCCCTAGAAATATGTTTTTATTTTTAATGTTTAGAGAATAATTCATATCATTTAAAGATAACAAAGAAAATGTTGCTGTCTAAAGATATAAAAATATATATGTATATGATATAAGCATACTATTTATTTAGTATATGTTGAAATTATAGGGTTCTGTAGCAGTATATACAGGTTTCTTATTTTTCAACTGTTTCATAGTATTACATTGTTTTGAGTTTTTCCTAATAAGATTTCAATTGATGGACATTTGTTTTTATATTATTATAAAAAATCACTACTCTAAATACAGATACACACATATTTTCCCACTACTTGAGTATATTTTGAAATAAATTCTAAAGAACTGGAATTGCATAGTGCACTTTTTAATTTATTAAGATATGTGCACTTTATAATTTATCAGGATATCCCAAGCTATTCTTCAAAAAGGTTATGCTTGTACTTTTAGTATTAGTTTTTTTTAATCACCTGTGTGACCTAGACTTTTAAATCTTTGACATTCTGATAAGTCACAGACGCTACCTTGTTGTTTCAATTTGTGCATCTTTTGTTCTGTATAGTTAATCCTGTTTAGACTTTTTTTTTATGAGCTACATATTTACTTTGTTTAGCCATAATTCTTTGGATTATTTATTTTTTTTCATGTCAGTTTGTAATAGCTCATTATATTTGGGAGAAATTTGTTCTTTCCCTGTCATGTCTTGCAGATATTTCCCTTAGAACTGTCCTTCATGTTGTTGATATTGACCATATAGCAAAAAAAAAAAAAAAAACAACATGTTGTAAACATGTATTTTAAAATGAAAATTTACAAAGTATTGTCCTTTATTATCCCATACTGAAATTATCTTCTTATTGCTTTAAAATATTTTGTTATGTAGTGTTTAGCTAGGAGCCATAGTGCATGCCTATAATCCCGGAGACTCAGGAGGCTGAGGCAGGAGGATCATAAGTTTGAGCAACAGCATCAGCAACTTAGTGAGACACTGTCTCGAAATACAAAATAAAATAGCGAGGGTTGGGGATGTAATTCAGTAGTAGAGTGTCCCTGGGTTCAATACTCATTACTGAAAAAAAAAATTGTATAGTGTTTAACCTCATTTAGAAACTAGCAGTGGCATTTTATTTGGACTAAATAGTTTAGAAATTTTTCCTTTTTTTGATTCTAATTTTAAAAAGATCACTAAGTAAACTTCATTTTCTTGTACCTTATGCTGTGTAGATTAAAAATATTCCTGTTTTCAGTGTTCTACCCAAGAGTTCTTCTTGATTGTCAAGACCCTGTATCATCTGCAGTCAGAGTTTCAAGCATTAATGCCTGCTGTTAATTCTCATGTTCAGTCAAACCTGCTCCAGACAGTTATTTTAGAAGTTCCTGAACTCCTCAGTCCAGTGGAGCATTACTTAAAAATACTTAATGAACAAGCTGCCAAGTAAGTACCAGATCCTCAGTTCTTCCTTTCCATCAATGAGAATTCATCTAATACATTTGCTATTTGATGTGTGGATTTTCAGTCTTTGCTAGAGTACTGGTAGAAGGTGCTTGAGTGCACATGTACTCAGAAACATGATTAGATACTGAAAGTTTTACATTACAGCTGGAAGTTTCACTTTATTATCTAAACTCAGGCAGTTTATTACGTAGGACAGTTGTACTGCTTCCCCAGGTGTCAGATGATAAAACTATAAAGCACAGGCAAAGCCAAACAGTAGCAGTTTATTAACTTGAAAATGGATGTCAGATGGCGTCGTGTACTCATTTCCCAGATATCCATTGTGTACTCATTTCTTAGATACCCAGGGATGATCTGTCTTATATTTAGATTCTGTAACAGCAAAGTTATCTTTTAAAGGATAATTATTTCACAGTGCGTCCCACAAAAATTTCCATATTTAAAAAAAAATTGACATTTACATTTGTCTTTATTTTCTGAATAGGCAAATGACTCTTATTTAATTTTTTCTCTTGGTTTCACCATGGGAATCATGAATTTGTAAAATTAAAATTATATTATGGTAATTTTGTCAATCCTCAGAAGTTCAGAAACATCCCCATAAATACTTAGTGGCAGAACTGGCATTAGAACCACATTTTCTTGACTTCTAGCACTACGGTCTTTTATCATGGTACAAAATAAAATTAATGACTGTTCTAATAATATACTTAAATATATGTATTTGCATTTTTCATATTTCAGAATTGGGAATAAAACTGAATTATTCAAAGACCTTTCTAACTTCCCTTTAATAAAACAGAGGAAGGATGAAATTCAAGAAGTTACTGACAAGATCCAAATACATTTGCAAGAAATACGAAAAATATTAAAAAATCCTTCTGCACAGTATGTGACAGTATCAGGACAGGAGGTAATGTCAAACATGAATTTATTTTGCATCAACTTGCCTTAAGTAGAAAAGCTATTTTAAAATGTAAATAAAAATCTGAGGATAGGATGTAAATATCATTTTTTCAACTTTTTGTTTTGTTCTTTGGAAATAAAAATAAATTGTTTTGATAAGAAATATTTTAATAATGATATTTTATTAGTCTTTTGACAAATTTATGCAACTTAATGTTATATGTGTTTTATTGTTATCTGTTAGAATTATATTATGGAAAACTTTGCTTCTTATATAAGTAGTAATTTAGAGAATCCACTTGTTCTGAATCCAGGACATAGAAGTCATTCTTTGATCCTAGGCTTAGAGAAAATGAAATGATACCAAGTGGACCATGTAATGTTGATTGGATCACACAGTGATTATTAAACGATGGTAGTTCTTTCTGAAGTTAGTAATATAATTGCTAAATGGGGGAAAAGGCACTCATACTTTGCTGGTGGGACTGCAAATTGGTGCAACCAATCTGGAAAGCAGTATGGAGATTCCTTAGAAAAATTGGAATGGAACCACTATTTGACCCAGCTATCTTGCTCCTTGGTTTACACCCAAAGGACTTAAAATCAGCATACTGTAATAACATAACCACATCAATGTTCATAACAGCACAATTCACAGTAGCTAAACTGTGGAACCAACCTAGATGCCCTTCAATAGATGAATGGGTAAAGGAACTGTGGTATATATACACAATGGAATATTACTCAGCCATTAAGAAGAATGAAATTATGGCATTTGCAGGTAAATGGATGGAGTTGGAGAATATCAAGTTAAGTGAAGTAAGTCAATCCCCCAAAACCAAAGGCTGAATGTTCTCTCTGATAAGTGGATGCTGATCCATAATGGGGGAGGGGGAGGCATGGGAAAAATGGAGGAACTTTGGGCAAAGGGGAGGGAGGGTGGGAGGGTGCATGGGTGCAGGAAAGATGGTGGAATGAGATGGACATCATTACTCTAGGTACATGTATGACTGCAAATATGGTGTAATACTACATCATGTACAACCATAGAAATGTAAAATCGTACTGCAGTTGTGTACTATGAATCAAAATGCATTCTGCTGTCATATATACCTAATTAAAATAAATTAATTTACAAGTAAAATAAGAGTGAAAAACTATATTTAGTGATTCTGTAACAATATTGTGGTACTGTTTTTTTATTTTATTAATTCTTTTTGATATATGACAGCAGAATGCATTACAATTCATATTATACATATAGAGCCCGATTTTTCATGTCTTTGATTGTATAGAAAGTATATTCATACCAATTCGTGTCTTCATACTTGTACTTTGGATAATGATGTTCATCACATTCCACCATCATTTCTAATCCCATGCTTCCTCTCTTCACCTCCCACCCCTTTTCCTATCTAGAGTTTGTCTATTCCTCCCATGCTCCCACTCCCTACCCCACTATGAATCAGCTTCCTTATATGCACAATTCAGGAGCCACTTGTCAAAAGAAACGAACTTTATTTTTAGAACCACCACACCAAACAAAACAGCTCCTCAGGAAAAACCTTCAGAGCCCAACTGCCACCACCGGCTTCCCACAAGCCTCTCAACCTCCCCCACTCCTCCTGCTCTTGAGGCCGATTGGCTGGGTTGCGTGGGCGGAGCCAAAAAAAGTTCCCCAATGAGCAGCTCCGAAGTCTGAAAGTGCGGGGAAACAGCCCAGAGAGCATCACCGCAGAGGAGCCAATCAGCTAGAAGTTGCTGTGGCCGCTGTGAGCCAATCATCAGCTGGCAGTCTGAAAGTTTGCTGGGGCCCCTTCGGCTGTGGCTCTCAACATCTCCCCCTCTCTGTTTAAACAACAAGCATGTGGCTTAGGGACTGTGCCTGCCTTAGGTTGTCCAGTAGTACATATGGTTCTTACCCGGTATCAGATGAGCTGACCTCAAGGCGTCAGCCTCCTGTCTTAGGTTGGTACCATTGCAATTGGATCTTACCCATCACTGACTACCGGTCCAGTATATAGCCACGCCTGTGGAAAGGTCTTTGTACCAGCAGGGGGGTGAGGTTCTTTGCCTCACCTCTGTTGGCCCCCAAATTTTAGCTGAACGATCATGACAAGCAGAAGGGAGGAAGATACACCAAGCCAATTGATGGCTCCTTTTGGAAAAATTGTACCACCGATGACATCATCAGCAAAAATACCCCAACACTACCACAAGTCACTGCACCAACAGATAGTTCACAATGCATACAGGTGAGTTCACAGTGCATACAAGTGATACATAGTCCAGGCAAGTTCTGCAAGCAGTTCAGTAATGGCTATTGCAGAAGCTGTAGATTGGTTTTATCTTTGTCTTCACCGGCACTGGGATGAAGATAGGAATTCTGGCAATAATGGCTAAAGAAAAAATTAACATTCCAAAAGGCACTAAAAAAAAACAATTTTCTTAACAATTTACATTGTCTTCACTGGCACTGGGATGAAGATAGGAATTCTGACAATAATGGCTAAAGAAAAAATTATGTAACATTCCAGAAGACACTAAAAGAAAACTATTTTCTTAACAATTTACATTATCTTGAAGAGAATTATTAAATATAATGAAAAGGAAAGGTGAAAGTAAACAAACAGATCTGTTAACCTCCCTTTTTGTTCACATATTAAAACAATCCTCAACAGTTGTTTACCCAATTTAAATTAAACCATTTAAATCACATGAATAAAAAAAAATATTTGGATCCATTTTTTCATGAGCGGTCATCATATATGATATATGGACATATGTACATACAAACATACAACATAAAACACAAGTGTGCACACAACACATAATAGTAAAGGCCTTATAACTTTTTACAGGTGAAATCTCCATTGCAATGTTTAAAAACTCTGTAGTCAAAAAATAGAACTGATCAGCAAAACATTAACCTAGGTC